GAGGTAGAGCTGAGTATCGTCAGCATATTGCTGACTCCTCAGCTCAAACTTCCTGATGACCTCTCGCAGCGGTTTCATGTAGATGTTAAACAGCATGGGGGACAGTATTGAGCCCTGAGGAACCCCATGACATAAATGTCCCCCAGCACCACCCTCTGTACACAGTCAGCCAGGAAGGAGTGGAACCACCATAAAGCAGTGCCCCCAACTCCCAACCCAGCCAGCCTATCCAGAAGGACACCATGGTCGATGGTGTCGAAAGCCACTGAGAGGTCCAGGAGTATCAACAGGGTCACACTCCCCCTGTCTCTCTCCCGGCAAAGGTCATCGTACAGGGTGACCAAGCCAGTCTCTGTACCAAAGCCTGGCCTGAAACCCCATTGAAATGGATCCAGAAAATCCATTTCATCTAGCAGTGTCTGCCCGGCCACAACCTGCTCCAACACTTTGCCCAAATAAAGTAGGTTCGCCACTGGTCGGTAGTTAACCACCAGCCCTGGGTCCAGGTCAGCCTTCTAAAGGAGTGGCCGAATTACTGCCTCTTTCAAGTAGGTAGGGACCACTCCCTCTCTCAAAGAGGCGTTCATGGCCTCCTGGACCTAGGTACAAACGCCCCTGGCAGATCTTCCAATTAGCCAAGATTGGCAAGGGTCTTTGCATTATCACATTTCTTTGCTTATGTTAAATCTTGCCTCACTATTAGAGCCATACTGTTTCTTCTGTTTGTTATTTCCAAAGTAAAACACTTTGTAATTATCAAATGGAAAATGTCCTATTCCCACCCAATTAATTCTCTAACCCAAGTATTACAACATTTAAAACTTCAGCTTCTTGTCAAACGATTTCATATTCATATTTCTCATATTCTATTTATTTATTTATTTATTTATTTATTTATTTATTTATTTATTTATTTATTTTATTTTATTTTATTTTATATTTTATTTATTTAATTTAATTTAATTTATATGCCGCCCACTCTACCCAGAGGTCTCTAGGTACCAATCATATGTTTTGTGCATCCTCAGGCTTTCCTTTTGCCTCTGTGCACTTTGACCACTAGAAGTCCTTTGTTTTATAATTTAGTTGCTTCGTTAGTGACAGTACTGTATGTACATGTCCTTTGCTGTTCTCCAAAAGCTGACTCAATGAATTTCAACCTTGGAGTCTCATCTTCCAGCACTATCTCTTGTTTAATTTTGAATTGTCTCATAGGGCTTTCAAGGTAAGAAATATTCAGAAGTGGTTTACCATTACCTTTTGTCACTGCTATTGTCTGTGAAAGATCCTCTGACAATGCCACTTTCCAATACTGCTGCTGCCCAGTGGCTATCCTTCAAGAATTTCTCTGCCCCCTTTACCATTGGATATGTTCTCTTTTCCTTCTGTGACTGTCAATTCCTGAAAAGAATAGATGTATCTTAATATGGCGTCTCTGCTTTGACCATTCTGCCTTGGGTGACCCATGCCTCCCCCATAATATTGCTCTCTCCCAGATTCCCTGATACACTGATAACTCCTCTCCACGTTAAAATGTGCATCCAAGAGGCAGCATGCCCTTTAAGTCACATGAAATGTGGAGGAGCTGTATTTGTTCTGTATGTTGAACTGTAAAGAGGAAGATGCCTCTCAGAGCATAGGCCACTGGTGGATATATCAACAAGCTTCTTTATTTCCTTTTATTGTGCAGTTTACTGTTCACCAAAGTGAAGCTGGAATTAGTACATAAAGGGCCAGAAGAGGCTTTGGTGACCTGCAGACACATGTTGCATCAATGGCAGACTCTGCATAACATTTCTCAACACAGGTATGTTTCTCCTTCTAAGGAAATTGTGCCTTGTTCTCATCTAGGATGCAAACCTGTTGTCGAGGCAGAGCCTCTGCAGACGGAAGGCTGAGTGTTCCTTGTAACCAGGGAAAAACGTTCCCTGCACATAAACAACTGTTATTTTGTTTTAGGGAGAGGATTAGCTTAAGCTCTTCATTCTGATCACACTGGTTATTTTTATAGGTGCCATATTAAAGGAGATAAATGCATTACTGTTGTCTGAAGAAGTCTACTTGTTACAGCTCATACAAATTTTAAAATAAACATCTCTGCTAGACTTCTTAAGGGCCTGTGCCCCCTCAGAATATACAATGGGAGTTCCTTGTGTGAACCATTCCTTGAGACTATTATATGCTTTAAAATATTTCAGCCGATTCCAATCCTTGCTTCCATTGAAAGCAAGAGCAAAAATAGGATTAGTCGATACTTTAACTTTGTTTTTGTCAAAGGACTAAATTCAGTTTTGAGCCCCAGCTAGAACAGACCCATTGGATCAATGAGGTTATGTACCGTAACGGCAGACTGAACAAGCCCCATTAATTCAATGGGTCTGCTCAAGTTTGGGCCAACAGTTGCACTTAACGTGATGTTTCCTGTTCTCTTTGAGGAACACAGCTGTGTTTAAAAGTATTAGAATAAACTTGCCTATGGCAAGTAGACATTTCCTTCAAGCAAGGTCCACACAGACTTTTCAGCTTACAGTGGTGCCTCGCATTACGACGTTAATTTGTTCCAGTGAAATCGCTGTAGAATGAAAACGTCATAATGTGAAAATAAAAAGCCCATTGAAACACATTGAAATCCCTTCAATGCGTGCCAATGGGCTGGAAACTCACCATCCAGCAAAGATCCTCCATAGGGCGGCTATTTTCGGTGCCTGTGCAGCGAGGAATCCGTCCCAGAAAACAGCGGGGAGCCATTTTATTTACCTGGTGGCCATTTTGAAACCACCGATCAGCTGTCCGAAAATCATCGTTTTGCGAAGAATTGGTTCCCGAAGCAGGGAACCGATTATCGCAAAGTGAAAAACCCCTATTCAGATCATCGTTTTGCGATTGCAGTTGCGATCGCAAAAAGATAATCGTAATGTAGTTTCTTTGTAATGTGGGACAATCGTAAAGTGGGGCACGACTGTATTTGGACATTTCTGAGGTGCATGAACTGACTGCCCATGCTATGCATTGCCATGTTTCTTACGCTTCCCCTAGTTAGCACTGGAAATGCAGTACAAAGTGGGTGTGTGGCTGGTTGCCTTGTAAAATGTAAAATGTAGGCCAACTGCCTCACTAATTTCCCAGAGGCCATGCAGCCAGTACCGTTGGTGGCTGTACGGAAATAGTGGTGCTGTCATTGATGTCACAATCACTGCAGAGGTGTCTGTATTCTGACATGCTGCTGCTCTTCAGAATAGTCCTGCTTTCAGCATGGAACATCTCAAGGGATGATAATGCAAGAAGCATTCAAGCCTCTCTCTGGCAACAGTTCCAAGCACTCCTTCCAGCCTGACCTGTATTCACAGTTGCCAGGAAGGTGAATAAAATGATATCCAAAGCAACCAATTCCCCTTTATTGCCTTACAGTGAGGAGGAAGAGGAGCACCAGCACCATCAACACAGTGGCAGCCGGAAAGGGGCAGTGAATGAGTAAGTTCCACACCAAGCCATCCATCCGGTTTGCCTGCAATTAGCAACTCGGAGGACTAGCAACACAGTGGTATGCTAGGATGAGTGAATGGAGGGGAAATGGGAGAAGAGAGGAAAAATGAATGGGGCCCAGGCCAGGCAGCCCACCTGTATAAAAGAGCCACATACAGATGCACAATGAGTGGGTTTTTCCAGCAGTCTCAAAAACCCTAATTCCATATCCAGGTACTGTACTTAAGTAAAGATTTATATATGGAGAAATTTTCAGTCTCAATTTCATTGCATTTCTTTAAATCCCTCCTGTGTTCCAGCCCCATTTTTTGTTTATATCAAATTACACTACATTGTTTTTTGTTCCCCCATGGAAGTTCATACCTATTTTCAGCGCACATTTCCATAATATATGCATTCGTTTACACAACCTTGTGTGCATTTCCTCCATTGACTAAAGTGGGTGTGTGCATAGGCTTCATTTCTGCTTACTTTAGCCATTCATATTTGAAAAGAGCGCATATGATTTTGTGCCTTTTACAGTTCTCTGAAACATGTGCAAGCTTGGAAAATGTGCCAAACGTTGAGGCACAATGTCCCACAATGAGTCTCAGGAGGGTTCAAAATGGATTATTTAGTGATTATCTTGACCCCACAATAAAATGTATGCCCCTACATGTGGGCAACTTTATTGTGTGTTAGTAACTTGTTAAACGTACACACTAGTCTGTCTGAGCAAGAGATGCAATTTGAAATTAAGTGTCATCGTCAGTCATTTTATTCAAAGGAAGTTCAGCAGCTTATGCCAAGCAAGCAAACATTCTGCATCTAAGCTTGTCATTTTGCATCTACTTAAAATCTTCTGAGTCCTACAGAGGTCAATAGGATTTGCAAGCTTGTTAAGCAGGTCCAGGATTCCTAAGTAAATATATTGATGGTGCATGAGTAAGAGATCTGAAATTTCCAGGAACAGCTCGGCATGAAGCAACAAGAAAACCAGGCCATGTCCTGTGATCACTCAAGCCTGTAAGAATCAGAGCCTTGGAAATAATAATCATGCCACCAAGCCCTGTTTTCAGAAAGGCATGTATAAAATCCTAGACCTGAAAGGGAACATGAACCTTATTCCTGGAAGGCAGGGCCGGGCCATCCTTCCATCATGGCTCAGTTCCAGAGAACAATCTACACATCATTGCTGATAATGTTGTTTGCTGCATTGTTCCTCTTGTAGGGTTGTGGTTTAAGGGAAAAGGACAAACTAGAATTAAAATAAAACTTTCCCATCTGCCAGGCCGATCGATAAGGATATGTTTGGACCCAAACTCTTCGCCTGATTGCTACCACCAAAACAGTGATAGCTCACCCGTTAGGGGATTTGTTTTATGATCCAAATAGGTTTGCCTCCTGTGCAAAATCAGTGCAGGAAGCAACTGTTGTTTTTGGATGCTACTGCTTTGTAAAACCTTCTGGAGGTCTCTTGACTGTCGGACCAGACCTTGATGGAAGTCATTCACGACCATTGTTGTTGAAGAGTACATAGCATGGTCTCTGGGTCCCTCGGTTGACCAGTTCTGGTGATGCAGGTGATAATACATATTCTTGGATTTTATTTTATTTTTTGACCGTGCTAGGTATAGTGTTCACAATTATCCAGAGTTTTCAGCATCTGCGAGGGGGGCTTGTAACCATTCCCCTGCAGATACGGGGTCCTACTGTGCTTTCTGAATCAGAAACTTTACTTCTATAGTGTGCTATGCATACCCATACAAATTGCTTCCTTACCAAAATGCTGATATCAAGTCACAGCCAGCTAAACTCACACACCTATTCACACAAGTAGGAGAATACACTATAAGGAGCTGAAATTCCCAAAGCCTCTCAATATAATAATAATATAGGCATATTTAGAGTTAACACTTCTGGAGTAAAACATTAATAATGTTGTACTCCTTGACACCTCAAAAGATGATGCATGTGATTGTGGAATTCATAGAATCATAAAATAATTGAGTTGGAAGGCATGTATAAGGCCACGGGGTCCAACCCCCTGCTCAATGATGTAATCGAAATCAAAGCCGATCTGACACACGATTGTCCAATTTTCTCTTGAATGCTTCTAATATGGGAGCACTCACCACCTGTTAAGGTAATTGCTTCCATTGTTGTACTGCTCTAACAAGGTAATTGGTTCCATTGTTGTACTGCTCTAGGTTTTTTTTAATATTCAGCCTAAATCTGACTTCCTGTAGTTTGAACCTATCCAGCACTCTGGGATGATCAAGAACAGATCATGACTGTCCTCTGCATGACTGATTTTCAAGTATTTGAAAAGTTCCATCACATCTCCCCTCTATCCCCTTTTCTCAAGGCTAAACATCTTCAGCTTCTTCAGTATTTCCTCATAGGGCTTCATTTCCAGTCCCCTGATTATCCTCAGAGGAGTAGAAACCATCATCCATGTCAACAAGTCTTGATTTTTGGATAGAATTCTGTGTAGAAAGAGAATCTTTATTTTAGTCCAAGTAGGAAAGGAGCAGTAAGCTAGATTTTCAGCTGCAGTAAACCTGCTTTCCTTAAATACATGAAACTGCTCAGAGCGCACCCCATCAGCAGCAGCAGCATCCTGTCCCACCTTGCCAGTTTGCTCTGTCAGATTGTGTCTCGCACAGCATTGCTGATGACACAACTAATTCCCATCTCTTTGACAGAAATCCCACCCACCCCCAAGCATATTTTGACAGCCGCTATCTTATATGCACAGATGTTTTGGAGCTTTCAGAGCTGGTGGCAGTTGGATAGGATTGATGTTCATTTTGTAGGCCTGATATACCCTCTGCCTTCCCATGAGCAACCATCTATCACAGTGGCTGCTGTTGTTGTTCCTTTACAGTGATTCAGAGAAAGCCAACAGCCTGACGGAAGTACTGCCAGTCAAGAAGCATAACAGTGTATATCTCACTCTTCCTGATGCCCATGACAACGACTCTGGTAAGAGAAACAAAAACAGATGACTTCTGGAACCCAAAATTCAGTGCAGATGTTCACGTGATCCTCTCCTCCCCACGATAATGTGACATAATGACTAAATACAGTGGTGCCCCGCATAGCGACGTTAATCTGTTCCAGATTAATCGTCGCTATGAGGAAACATCGCTAAACGGAATGGAAAAACCCCTAGGAATGAATTTAACTTCGTTTAATGCGTTCCTATGGGGCCCAAACTCACCGTTCAGCGAAGTTCCTCCATAGTGCCGCCATTTTCGCGCCCTTGGTAAGCGAGGGCAGGGCCCGAAAATGGTTGCGGCAGCCATTTTGGGCACTCAGCAGCCATTTTGGAACTGCCGATCAGCTGTTAGAAAAAACATCACAATGCGAAGATCGGTAAGCGAAACGCTTACCCATTATTGCAATGACATGTTTTACCCATTAAAATATCACAATGCAATCGCATTAGCGATCTGAAAAAATAGATCGCTATGCGGATTCGTCGTTAAACAGTGCACTCGTTAAGCGAGGCACCACTGTATATTAAAAAGGCGCTCCAAAGTGTCCATTCAAAAATGAGGTTGCTTGTTGCATCTCTATATGAGTCAGTATGGTAATGTTGCACCCTTTCAGCCTGTGGCTATGGATTGCTTGATTGTGTCTCTGACTGAAGCATTCACTTCTAATTAAAGAAAAGAGTCAGAACGGCATGCCATTGGTGGTCTTTTATGTCCTTCTTTGCCTGATGGCTCTGGGCTTTCTTGTTTTCTGTCCAGACTGATGGATAAATACAGGGAAGGACATATAACACGATTTCTCTTCTAAAGTCACATCACTGCTTTCCCCAGTTTGTTTCTGGGCTCATTTCAAACTACTGAAGCTGATACACCTTTGAAGAACTGCATGGTTTGGAAACTAGTCATATATTGGAATGCCTTCCCTTTTGATCATTCATTCAGTTTGCAGACATGATGTGTGAACACAACTTGAATTGGCCATGCATGAACTGTTAAATCTCAGAAGCCTGAAAAAAAGCTCCCAATGACTGGAAGATGGGTTCTCTATATTTTTGACCCTCCCTGTGAAAAAAGACAAAGGGGTAAGGGATGCATGTTGTAGCATGCAGCTTTTCTTGCTTCCAAAATGGCATGTCAACATTGGACAGTAGAGATTCACTGACTGAGAATAAGAGTTATTGAGGTCCCTTGTTGTCCAGGCAAAATTCAAGCCTGACCTGGAGTATTTTATAGTCCTTCCTGATTGGGGGGGGGGGGAACCAAAGGTTTTACTGGTGGTCAGAATCGCTATTAAAATTGCACCCATAGAATGTTTAATTGAATAATCCTCATATAGCGATTAACCCTGCCTTTGCATATGTATAGGGGTATTTGCATGCACCAATGTGAATTGTTGAGAGGTGGAGCCAGAGAAATTAGAAGGGAGGGGTTAGACAGATAAGAGCAGTTAGTCCGTGAGATAGTGAGGGAGAGTCAGAAGTGACTAAACTCAGAGAGTCATAAAGGAATGTTTGTCTGTGAGGAGTTAAGGGAGGCAGTTGAGAATGTGGAATTTAGAGTTACATGTGAAATAAGTTAGTACAAATCTCACGAAGAGTCAGACACGACCAAACAACTAAACAACAAAAACTGAATAGTTCAAAGTCTTTTAGGAACCTGTTTATGTGAACTGTATCTGATAAACCTATTTTGTTATAATTTACACACAGTATGGACCTCAATCTTTCTAAGTAAGTATTGTTGACTGAGATCAACTGGTGGCAGCATAAAAGGGAACGTGGCGTGGGCCTTAGGTTAGTGAAATAATCTGGGGACACGCAGAGGGCATGTCATACCTCGTAGTTCACCAGGCTGATCACCAGCCTCTGAATCCAGATGTTCTGATTCTAGTATTGAGATTCCTGACGTGTGAACTTCTGTGGATCAGGTTTTTATTTTCCCTGTTTCTATAAAACTAGAAAATATATACTCTGTTTACAGGTAAGTGACCTTTAGATATTTTCTGCACTGAATAGGAGTATGTATTTGTGACTGGTTCTTGTACAGTAGGAAGAAAGCCTTAATGACTCAACTATAGCGGGAGAATCTAACCATGACTGTATCTCTCCTAGGGAGTCAGCATCCAACTATGTGGCAGGGTTTTCCGTTGTGCAAGAGTATCTAAACATACTTTCAATCATGCAAGAGTATCTGGAAGATCTAAAGGATACCACAGGGTCACTTCATACAGAAAAGAACTACTTACGAATAAAATGTGTTTTCTGATCAGTGTGGTTGCTTAATTATGTGGGAGCACCCATGTTTCTGTCAGAGACAGAAATATTTATATTTTGGACTACCATCCCCCAAATCTGAATTCTTGAAATTGCAGTAATAAAACTATGTTTCACGTCTATGGTATCTTGTCAAATATGGCAAAAAATAAATAAACCTATGACATTCCTATGGAAGTTCAGTCTGCCGTATTCAACCAGAATTCTACAGTTCAGTAATGATGTTGTTACTCCATGTAGAATGTATCTGCTAGTGTGGCCATGGGGTAGAAAGAGCCAATCTTTCAAATAGCCCATAATGGACAGCATTATTTTTAAATCCCAGTGAAGCTTCTGAGAACAGTTGTAGGTATACAATTTCCAAGGGTGTTTCCAGGAGGATTCTGTCTCCAGAAATCATGTGCCATGTATCTGCAGCTACTTATGCCACTCAGAGTTACAACAATGCTGTTTGGAGTTTTTTAAAAAAAGTAAAATATATATATAGTAGAATGCCATCTTTAATTACTGTGCTACATAAAATTGCTCATTTAAAATCTGCTTATATTTTTAAAAAATAAAATAAAATGGTAAGACCACCAAAGATCTTTAAATTCCGACTCCTGAAAACTCCAGAATATTCCCTCAACTCTTATAAGGCATGAAGTAGACTCTGAAAGTTGGTGAAGGAATCATTGGGCATTTTAACACTATGCATGAAGAGATGATTCATGCCATGATGGACAGCCTAACAGGTGTTGAGGATATTTTCCACCATGTCTGATCCCACTTAGGACCACACAAGTCCCTTCTGTTGAAACTGGAAGATACAGGGGAAATCACTCCTACTTCATAACAAAATGGATTTGTGAGCTAAAACAAGATGAGAGAGGGATGCCTTGTTTTAGGGCAAAATTACGCCCTCTGAAGCTTTCAGAGGCATCATTGTTCTTATTCACATGCATCCAGATAATGATGGGGGGGGGCCTTTTGAGGGCCACACATGATTCATGTGGTTCACCTGTGTACCAAATAAACATGGAATAAACTTTCCATCTTCAATACAGGGCTCTCTGTGCTGTGAGCTATAGAATAAAAATACAGAAAGCTAAATGTTCACCCTTTATTAAATATGTGCTATGATGGTAATATTAATTTTTTAAGTCATTCTATTGTTTTCTGAAATAATTTTGCTATATTAGGCAGCCAACGCTGATCCAGTTCCCCATAGATATGTTAGATTGTTCCCATAATCCTCCTGTAAGCATCGGGGTTGGAATCCAGCACCTTCCCATGAGGTTGTAAATAGGATTGTCAGGTCAGCAGCATCACATTCCCAGTGATTTCAGAGTCAAGGGACTAGGAGGTGGACCTCTCTACTGTCACAGTGGCAGGCTCTTGTGACATCACAGAAGCAGGGCAGACAAAGATTGGAAAGGGTACTATTTTTATTAGTCATCTTGGGGAGGTAGATATGCTAAAAGACAGACTAGAAATCTGTAAAATATGTGATAAATATGCTGAATGAAGGGACTAGACAGCACATAGCAACAACAGCCCTGAGAATACAGACAATAATGAATTCTTAACATAGGAATAGGTTATTGTGATGCAATAGCAACTCATAGCTGGGCTGATGAGCTGCTAGGGAGGTTTGGCTATCATAGAAATGTACAGTATAGAGTTGTTTCTAGGGCAGAGGTCAGCATATCTGAAGGGAGACAACCATTTTTATACATAAGATGTTATAGAAAACTGGTCTGTTAATATGCGTAATACAGTAAAAAGTTTTTGGTCCTTATTCAAGCTGTTGGAGATACATTGGAATTTAGATATGTACAGTAGTCAACTTCTGTTGTTTCCCTCTCCGATCTCCTTTTCCACTCATTATGTCTAAGGAAGTGGATTTGGCTCCATAAAGTTCTCACCAAAACATATTTGTTGTTTTTAAGGTGCCACAGCACTTAGTCTTCTCTCCCTCTCCCTCTCACATACACACACAGTTTTTGTTTCTATTCATTGTTTTGCCCCTTAATTTGATCAGTATGCTGAAATAGACTAGCATGGCTACCTCTTTGGAGACCTCAGTAGAATAAGAGAGAGACATAACATGAGATGGATTGACTCTTTAAAAGAACCATGGGTTTTTAAGGTACCACAGCACTTAGTCTTCTCTCCCTCTCCCTCTCACATACACACACAGTTTTTGTTTCTATTCATTGTTTTGCCCCTTAATTTGATCAGTATGCTGAAATAGACTAGCATGGCTACCTCTTTGGAGACCTCAGTAGAATAAGAGAGAGACATAACATGAGATGGATTGACTCTTTAAAAGAACCATGGGCTTTAGTTTGGAAATTTTGAGAAACATTGTTAATGATAGCACCTTTTGGAGGCTAGTACTGCGTAGGATCATCATTACAGTGGCTAAAATCCTGTTGCTTGGTGTAATAAATTGCACAAGAATAGACTCATTGAATCAGTGGGGATTTAGTGAATCAATTCCTCCTTAAGTTTCATTGCTTCAAATAGGCCTACTGTAACAGTGACATACTATGCTAAAGAAAGTCACAGCTAGGTCCATTTGTATTGGAACTTACAGAGGAGGTGACTTGCCAACTCCTAATTGATTCAGTGGGCCTAACTCTAGTGCAATTTACTACACTAAGCAGCAGGATTTTGGCCAATGGCATATAAGAACAACAACAAAAAGAAAACAAATTGCGGCCGAAGGCATTCGTGTTGTCTTATTGGTTAGCATGACGGTAGAGAACAAAGTGACGCTCCTCTATTAGCTAATCAAGAACATTAGACTTAGAGAAGTGAAGTCGAAAACTTGCTAATAATTTTGTGCACATTTGTTTGGTGCTAATAAAGTCTGTTATCTAACCTTGGATTAGCAGATTTTTCAAGTGGACAAACATAGCTTTCTTTGATTTAGCTACACTTTGTGTTTCAGGTTCCCAACGAGCCTCTTCCATTGCAGCTTCACGGCTAGAGCAAGCCATGTCTGAAGTAACTATGCACAGTACTGCCTTGAGGCAAGGGCCTCTTTAGCTACACTTTGTCTGTGTTTCAGGTTCCCAGCGAGCCTCTTCCATTGCAGCTTCACGACTAGAGCAAGCCATGTCTGAAGTAACAATGCACAGTACTGCCTTGAGGCAAGGGCCTATGCAGCTATGGACAACTCTGGAACAGATTTGGTTGCAGGCTGGTAAGTCTTTTGGTTCCCCCACCACCACCACACTTCACAAAAGATTGTTTCAGGTGTCTTCTTTGTTTTTAAGTGCTGACAGTTCCAATGGAACCAACACCATTGCTTCAGAACATGGTGATCTCCCTGAATATGCCAAACAGCAGCAATGCTATCTGGAATATTCTGTAAGTTGGAGTCCAGAAGAGTGTATACATATTTCAGTTTTCCTGGCCTTTCGTTACACCTCATTTCCAACCCATATTGTTAAATATTTCCAGTAACGTCCAATAAGAGAAATAAATCCTACGAGGAAGTACTGAAGGAACCAAGAGGCTGACTTTATGGGCATTTAGCGCACTGTTGGGTCCATTGCAGGGAACTGCTGGTTTACTCCTAAAGGTGGCAATCAGACAAGATCTTTGCTGGAGTGAACCAGCCTGCCCCTGGAGTGGTCCTCTCTGCATCTTTCTGGTCCCTATCAAGAGTTTCTCCTTTTTTGGTATGGGTAGGATCACTCTCTTTTGGTCTGTTTCCAGAATGTGTGACCTGAGAACAAACCAAAAGCTTTCCTTATTAAATTTTGTTTTATGTAAACTGCCCAGAATAGTGCTATGTAGAGATGGGCACAAAGCACCGGTTCAGTGTTTCATACCAATTTGTTTATTGTCTGAACAGGTGTTTTGTGCTTCCCAACCCCGCCTCCTCTGGTGAGCACCCACTGCTAATACACTTTTCTTAAAGACCACTTATAATACTCATACCTAATACACTTTCACTTTTAAAAAAAGCATGCCAAATAGGGTCCTTGAGTCCATATGCCATTTGGATGCGAGGGTTGGAACAAATAGCATACCGGACCTCCTAGTGACTCTATTTAGTCTGTTCCAGCCTGCTCCAACCCAGCCATGTAGACAAACCCAGAGTATGATTACCCTAAAGAAGAGAAGATGGAGGGGAGACACGATAGCACCCATCTGACACGTTAGAGTGGTCACATGGATGATGGCAAGAGTTGTTCTTTTTTGCCTTACACAGTAGGACTAGATTTAATGGAAAAGAATTTAATTTTAGTCCTTACTAGAAGAGACCCACTGAAATAAATAGAAACAGTTAGTCACAGCTATAAGTCTCATTGATTTCAGTGGCTCCATGTTAGTTGAGATTGATTGATTGATTGATTGATTACCACTGAAATAAATAGGAACAGTTGGTCACAGCTATAAGTATCATTAATTTCAGTGGCTCCGTGTTAGTTGAGATTTATTTATTTATTTAGTTAGTTAGTTAGTTAGTTAGTTAGTACATTTCTATACTGCTGACTTAATGCAGAGCAGTACCAAAAGCAGTTTACAACATAAAAATGAGATAATGACTCCAAGCACCCATAAGTCATAGTTAGGTATCCTTCAGTCTCGAAAGACTGTGGTAAAGTGTATGGAGGACTTGGAACAGCATCTAGTGTGGCTGAGGAGGCCAATTCGAGAGTGACAATCCCTTCCACACTGAAGACAAATGCAATCTGTCCCCTGTCCAGCTCCCTGATTTTGCTGCTTCCGGGACTGCCTCTTTGCCTCAGCCTGCTGGACAAGGGTCTCTTCAAATTGGGAGAGGCCGTGATGGACCACCTGCCTCCAGGCTGAATGCTCACATGTCAGGGTTTCCCATCTGTTGAGGTCCATTCCTAAGGCCTTCAGATCTTGCTTGCAGATGTCCTTGTCACAGTTGTGGTCTCCCTCTGGGGTGATTCCCTGCACTAATTCTCCATACAGGAGATCTTGTGGAATCCGACCATCAGCCATTCTCACGACATGCCCAAACCAAAGTAGATGTCACTGTTTCAGTAATGTATACATGCTAAAAATTCCAGCTTGTTCTAGGACTACAGTGGACCCTTGACTTACAGACGGCTTGACTTACAGACTTTTTGACTTGAGAACCGCCTTCCAACACGGATTAAGTTCTCAAGTCAAGACCCCACTGTACTCTATTTGGAATTTTGTTCTGCCAGGTGATACCAAAACTGTGTCGGAGGCAACACATATGGAAAGTGTTAGGCTTCCTAAGACCTCCAACAACTCATGAATCATTTTAGCAAGGTCTGCCAAGACTTTGAACTAACAATCAGCCTGAAGAAAACACAAGTCATGGGCCAAGGCATGGACTCACCTCCCTCTATTACCATCTCCATGCAAGAATTAGAGGTTGTCCATAAACTTCACAAATAAGCACATACAATAAATTATATTTAGCCTGATGAGCTTGTTGTAGAAGGGGAGATTTTGATCGACTATTATGATAAATTGCTTAATGATTAGGGAATAATTAATCAAGTTGCTTCCAGCCTTTCCACTAAAAAGAATGTTTAATGCAGCTAACAATGAAATAAAAATGAAAAAGCACGGCTAAGACACTAAAACCCATTCTATAGAATTGCATCCAATAAATACATATCCAGTAAGCCATTTGATCCTGTCTCATGTGTATATACTTACTATATAATACTTTAAAACGCACACACATCCACTCAGAAAGAATTCACTCACCACTTTAAAACTTACTTCGTTAGCAGAACAGCTTAGACATACAAGCTGTGCCTGAATAAAAATGACTGCTTGCCCACAGAAGGACAATAGGAATGGAGTTAAACCTAGCTTCTTTTGGGAGTGAGCTCCAGAGTTTAGGAATTCTGAAGGCCCTACGTCATATTCCCACCACATATCCGTCTGGCAGGACACTAAGCTAGACAGTGGAACTGGCTATCTAGCATGGAGTGTATGGGCACTCCCTTGCTGGAGTCTTCAAGGAGAGGCTATGTAGCCAGCCTGTTAGGGATGCTCTTAATTGAATTTCTTGCATGAAGTAGAGAGGAAGGTGGAATCAAAGGCCTGGGAGATGCTGTACCATTGCCAGTTCTCTGAATAATCCATACTGATGTAATAAAAATGAAAGACATCAGGTTTGAATGAAAAGTAATTCAAACTTGATGTCTTTCATTTTTATTACATTATTATTTATTATTCATAATATTCATGAAATGCTGTTCAAAGCTTGAGACTGACGAAACTACTTAGATGAGTAGCGGAACATTTCAACCTAATAAGAAATAAGCCCAGTTGCCATGACTCAACTTCCAGATAACCTCACCCCGATGACTGAGAATCTTGAGAGATATCTTGAGAAAACAACTTACCCCCTTCCCCTGGGATTACTGTCAAATAAACATGATATAAGAGCAAAAAGGGCAACATAAGGAGAACAGTTTACCTTCGAAGAGTACCAGAAAACAGGGATTTTCCTTGGTAAATAGGGATGTTTGGGAAGAGTGAAATATTAATCACTCTCTTTGTTCCTAAATGTTATTTGTGAATGGCTGCTGATTTCAACTCTTACCCCCTAAAAGCCTTTTTTGTACCACAAGTCTTCTTGCATAGCTGGCATCTATTCCTACAACTAGCAGTACTGCATTATTTTAAATGTTCTTCAATTGACTATGATGCCATCACTCTGCTTGCCAATGCTGATACTCTTTAACTAAGCCCATGCTTTACCTAATATGGCCACTCATAGAAGACCTCGCTCCAGTCATTTGATCCTGTATTGGCTGAATGCCGTCAGCCTGGGAGCTTCACAAACCAGGTAGAATGATTAAGTTATGTTCAGCAGTGCACATGAAAAGAGATGGCTGAAATATTAAGTCTTTCAGAGTTTTTTTTTCTTATCTTCTGTAAAACTGAGCGAGTCATTTCTATCTCCCAGGAGAAAATTATATGTTTGCCCTTAAAGAAATAACGGAATGAATTCGCCATGAGTGTGCAGTGCTCTTGCGAAGTGCAGCATAATACTGTACAGTGAGCTAATGGAAAACATCTGTTCTCTCGTGTTATGTATACAGCAGGATCTCATACACTGTGTATAGATATATAAAGATATAGATTTATAGTCAGAGTCCTGTGTCTCGTAACATTTTAAATGTCTTAATGTTATGTTTAAATGTCTTAATGTTATTTGTGATCAGCAGATTCTTTTGAGAATACATTGAAATATTGAATTCAAAAGAGTGAAACAAAACTACAAAGGTTGAAATTATTGTCTCAAACGTGTCAGGGTCCACATAGCTACACCGGCAGAGTTTCTTCCTTTGCTTGTTTCAATAGGGAATACTGATCAAAGTATAAACCACCACTGTATTTTCCACTTCTTCCCTGATATTGATGCTGTTCTTCAACCTACCAAATACCTTTACTTACAAAGATAATACTTCCCCATTATATTTTCTGTAGGCTTTGTTATGGCCAAACAAAATGGATATGTAATCATTCTCCTACCACTGAGGACTGCAATCTAAACCAGGGGAGGAAGTGTGAGTCCCCATGGGACTAGTGGATACATAGACAGCTTGTGATTGAAGGTGGGCAAAATTTGGGGGTGAAGAACCCCAACTGTCCTGATCCATGGGTTGGCCCTGAGCAGATAAGCATGCTTCATTCCACAGGAACCAGAAATATCATAGGAAGGCACTGTATTAAATTGGCTTTATTTTGCTTTGCTTTGTTGCCATCAGAGTCCTCCCCAAAATGGAAGTCAAAGTAGTTCACAATAAAATTAATAAAACAGCCATTGATTATGCCAGTTGGCCTGTTCTGAAAGTTCTATTCCAAAAAAGTAACTTTCCCCATCTTTAACTAAATCCTGAAGCTTGTCTTCATACCTCAAGGAACAGACCTTTTTTTTGCAGAAACTTAGGATCACCCATTGTCATTTTATTCAGGCAGATAGTACCTGCATTAATGTTCTGCAGACCAAGACTTTAATCTGGGGTGGGTCATATTGCTGAATTCCATTTATAAAAGCTGTTTGTGTTTCAGGCCTGGAAATTCAATTTTTCCTGTTTTGATGCTGATAGGAGAATGATACTTGACATTGCTTTGGAAAGCATCCAAAACTGCAAATCACTTACAGCAATGCAAAGCTTAGGACTTTTCCTTTTTTGGATTACAACTCCCAGCCAGGATGATCCA